TGGTGATGTGGTTCCCAAAGACGTCAGTGCTGCCATTGCCACCAACAAGACCAAGCATCCCCGTTGTGGGCTGGTACCCCACTGGCTTCAACGTTGGTATTGATTACAGGTCTCTCGCTGTGGTACCTGGTGGAGACCTGGCCAAAGTACAATGAGCTGTGCACATGCTGAGCAATCCCACAGCCATTGCTGAGGCCTGGGCTCGCCTGGACCACAAGTTTCACCTGATGTATATATGATTTATTCACTGGTAAGTGGTTGAAAACATGGAGGAAGGAGAGTTTTTTGAGGCCTCTGAGGACATAGGTGCCCTGGAGAAGAATTATGAGGAGATTGGTGTGGATCCTGTTGAAGGAGAGGGTGAGGAAGAAAGAGAGGAACACCGTTACCATTCCTGTCAGCCTTGCAGCATGTCCCTCTCAGAACTTTAGCTTCCACATTAGCTGACAAGCGTTAAAGGTTTCTGGCTTGTCTCCAATTTTCACTGTGATCACGTCTTATTTTTCCATGTGTACTTGTAGAATTTTCCTATCATGTCTCAAAGTAAAAGTGTAAGAAGGAAAAAGATATTAAAAAGTTTACAAAATATTTTTAAAAGTCAATTTTATTAAGGCATATTTTATACTTAAAATTATACCCATTTTAAATGTGTAGCTTGAGTTTGGGCAAATCTGTACACCATCTAACCCACACCACAATCAAACTACAGAAATTTCTATCATCTCAAAAAAAAATTGCCTTGTGCTTGTTTCCTGGCATTTCCCCGTCATCCCTGGCTCAAGACTGCCATTGGTTTGATTTCTTTTCTAGTGTTTCATATAAATGGAGTCATAAAGTATGCACACCACTGTCCCTGGCTTCTTTTTACAGCATAATGCATAGTGTTTTTGAGATTCATCCATTTTGGGGGACGTGTATGAGTAGTTTGTTCCATTTGATTGCTGCGTGGTAATCATTGTATGATTCTACCACCATTTGTTTATTGTTTATAGCTTTTGGCTATTATGAAAAGAGCCTTTAGTTATAGGTCTTTGTTCAGCCAGGACATGTGTTTTCACTTCTCTTGGGTAAATATATAAAAGTGGAATGCTTTGTCATATGAGAAGTAGGCATTTAACTTTTAAAACTTTCCTTTTTTCAAGAAGAATCTGCTAACTTCCTTTCCAAATGGTTGTATTATTTTGCATTCCCACTAGCAGTGTATGAGAGTTCTAGTTCCTCCATATACCCTCCAACACTTGGTATTATTGGCCTTTATAATTTTAGCCTTTCTTGTGGATATGTAGTGGTATCTCATTGTAGATTTAAAATTGCATTTTATTGATGACTGAGTTCTAGATATAAGCCATTTGTCAGACATATGTAACTCCCATGTTTTCTTCTATTCTTTAGTTTGCATTTTCAGTTTATTAATGCTCATTCAAAATCCAGAATTTTTAGTTTCGATAAAATTCAACTTATCATGTTGTTTTTAGTTTTGGCCTTTTATGCCCTATTTAGGGAATCTTACTGACTCTATAGAAAGCAAATGTTATATATCTGGATGTAATGTTTAAGTTGTGACACATTTCAAGTTGTTTTGTGTGTGGTATGAGGTAAGTGTTGACTTTAGTTTTTATGCACACGAGAAAACTATTGTTCCAGAGCCATTCGTTGAGAAGTCTGTCCTTTTTCCATTGAATTAATATAGCACCCTTGTTAAAAATCACTTTTATTAACCAATTTTTCTCATGGTTAAGGTTCACAGCATACTTCTTTGGGGACATCTGTATCATTTTATATCGGATGATGAATATTTGGAACTTTACGTTGATTTGTTATTTTGTCCTATTTTGTTCTCTTTAATAAAAGATTGTCAGACTTTGTCCTGGGAGACCTTTAAATGTGTTGTGTTTTTTTCATTCTTTTGGGATTGCTTTTAGGCTGGGCTAGGGTTTATCTAAAGCCACCTTTACTCTATAGGTGTTTTAGCACAACTATACTAAAGTGTGACTCTCATGGGCTCATTAATCAGGGTGATCAATGAGGATTTCCCAATATCATTGGTCAGACCTTGAATGTCTTTCTACCCTTTATGATGTCTAGGAATTTTCAGCACACAGCCCCCCCCCCCTTTTTTTTTTGCCTGGTTTCATGGAATTTCACCCTAAGTGTATGCACAGTTTAATATCCCATTATCAACAGACACAGTGTCACCAAATGCAATTTTTGGAGGCCTTTATGTAGCTCCTTCCTGTCTGGTACTCTCCTCCACAAATTTTGGCTACCTTAGTCCCCTTGCTTCAATCTATGTGTCCTCAACTCAGTATGACTCTCAGGTTCTACTTAGGGGTCCCCTCTATGCCACTGGTCTGAAATGTGTCAAAGTCAGGACTTCATAGGACTCACAATTTTGTTTCTCTATTGTTATGGATCATGGTCCAGTTCTGCCTTTTGTCCATCGTCTGAAACAGATGTTTAGTTTTTTCAATTGTTTATAAGGGGATGATAAATCTGGTCCCTGGTTTTCACTATGGCAAGGGGTATAATGTTTTCACCCCTTTTTATAGACAAATAAACTGAGATTAGAAAGATTAAGTAGTATAGTGATGAGGAACAGGGATTTGGGATTTAGGTTGGAATCCAAATTTTTGCTCTTATCTAGTTGTACAAACTTAGGTAAGTTATTTAACTTTCTGTCTTGGCTTCCATATCTTTAAAATGGATATGTTTTTGTTTGTGCTTATGACAATAACAATAATAAGCAAAACATAATAAAAGGTTAGAAGTTATTTCTTACTATTATTGTGATGATTAACTGAGATGATGAATGTGAAGTGTTTAGTATAATGCTGGACACACAGGGAGTCTTGGATATAGTGTTAGCTAACTAATGATGTTAGTCCATGATCACTTCAGTAGAATTCTGACTTCAAGTTCAGGAATGTAACATCGATGGACATGATGGATGTTTTTCCATTTTCTTTGTCAAAACTGTTTTGCTTTTAAAAAGTATCCAGAACAAGAAAATATATCCAGGGCCACCTGTAAGACAAATCCCTTTGAAGCAAGGACAAAGTATACTCATTTAATGAAACATGAGAAATCTGGTTTGTATTTGTGGAGAAATTTTTAAGGAAAGATCCATGGATCATCCATCATAAATTCTTAGTTCAAGGTAACTATTGTTTAATTAACCACAAGTGATGGATATCTTTAATATGGGTCATTATTAGCAGTTTCGTAGCTTTGAGACTAGGGTCACCCAACACATAACTTTTAAAGGACATTATCTACTTTTCTTTTTGGAACCCCATAAAATCTTGCATAATCACAAGTAGGGCTCAACAGAGAAAATCAGGGAAAGCAGCATGTTCATTGTTGAAGGTTTGTCCATGTCCTAAGTTGATCCTCACGATGGCAGGTAGACAAGTAATAAGGCATAGATTTGTCAGATGTGTAATGGAATATTTCAGCTCAGCAAGGGGGAATTTAGAAGTCTTTCCCTGCTGGCTGATCACCGGCCCTATGTCGTCCAACAACATCTGCTTATTCTCAGATGACAACAGTGCCGGTTAATTAGAGCTTGTTTAGGTTTTGACTATTGATAGACTTAAATTATATTCATATTGCCACGCAGAACAAATACATAGAAAGGTTTAGCTTTGATATAAATACAGCTTTTCCTTTGCTGCAGTGACATTTGAACTACGTATCAGAATAAAAAGCTTACAATAAGTCAGGCATAAAAAGTAGATCATCTAAATCAGATAATTAAGAAACATCTGATTAATGGCAATTGTGGCTTGAAAACAAAACACCCTACTTTAACAGAACCTTAAGTTGATTTATAAAAATGTAGACATTACCTACGAAAGAGATTGATGCTGTAAAATGCCACTATTATCTCTGCAAAGTCTTCAATCCTCTTTTCACTTTGGCTGTTTTAAAGATTTAATGCTATATTTGTTAGTATAAAGCATATTCTTTATATGAAATTCTTGAACTAGAATGAATTTCGTTCTTTTATGACCATTAAAAAGCTTTCCCTTTTCTGCACCTTGTAAACTCTCTTTCAACAATACTTATGAAAAGTCAAGAAAATGGTTTTTCTAGAATCCAGAATAATATATCACTTGTAGTCATTTAAATCGCAGAAAAGTTTGTTTCTTTGCGGTACATTTTGTGTAACAAGGTTTCTGTTGAGGGACTCAGTAGAGCGTTCTATGGGTGTTGGGATATTTTCTTCCGGGAGACACTGCTCTACTCATTGCTGTTCCCATTTAAAGGCTCGTAGGTTAGAGTTGACCATAGGCAAGGCATCCCTCAAGGGAGATGCATGTCAGAGATCCTTGGCTTTTTCTCTACCTTCGTGCTTGCTTTTCCCTGCCCTCCTCCCCCTTATTCTCCATGTCTCTTCTCAAAGAAACACAAAGAGGCATCATTCAATAATATGTTTGCTTGGTGTCCTTGATTAGACATAATCCAGACATCAGGAAGCTAAAACCAAGATGATTATTTATGTAATTCTTAAAGCTGGAAGTGTTGAAATACACTGTAAAAAATGAACTTTTAAAAAGCAGTTTGAAATACAAAATTCTGTCTCTATTACACTGCCTTCACAACACTAAGGTAATTTATCATGGAAAGCAGCTTAGGTAATCATAAAAGCTAAAGAGCTTCCTGCCACTGGCAGTGCATTAGTTCCAAGGCTTTCCATAGAACTTCAACCAATATGACATTTCGATCCCTTGTGTCCAAGAAGTGGTCAAGGTTGATCAGTCAGCTTTCAAGAGAAGAACTGGCTCCTGATGGAGGGCAGCTATAATCGTAGGGTTTTTTTTTTTTTTTTTTTTTTTTTTTTTTTTTTTAGGAAAGTGATATACTGAAAAGTCATATCATAGTTACGTATTTATGAAGTATTGGTTTCTACACACTGGACGTTTGACAATGATTGCTAGAACAAATCATTACATTTCTAAAAAAAAAAATTTAAAAATGCACAGACTCTATCAACCAAATGGATTATAAAAAGTCTCACTCCTGGTATCATCTTAATGAATGCAGTACAGAGTGTCATAAATGCCCTTACATCCTTGTCACATAGTGTGAATTACAAATAGAAAAACCAAAGAGATGTTAAATTGACTTCCCTTTAACGGAGTCTGATATGTGAATCCTTTGTTCCTTTCTCACTTATTGCAGATGTCTTTCATTAGTGAGTTCTCATGTTCAAATAATCAGCACCCAAATATTCAAGATTATGGGAAGACAATACCATTGCCATTTTCACAGTCACATTATGATATTTTAGTGTGTTGAATATAGTAATTATTTATTAAAAGTAACACATGAAAATATGAATAAAATACCTTTATGTACAAAGTGGCATGGCATGATTTCTACCTAACATTTAATAATACACTTGCAAATTGTCCCTGCATTAACATAGTACAAAACAATAAATACAAACATTAGGTAATATGAGAACACCAAGAAAATAGGAAAGTCTCCACGGATAGGAACTGTCGGCTCTGGAAACTTTCAACTCAAGGGAAGGTCATGTCATCAAGGAACCCACCTACCTGGCTGTCAGGTTAGCTGCTCACAAAGGTCCTTCCTAAAACTCCCAAGCATGTTCTTATAAAATGTAGTAATGTGCTTTTCATGTCACAAATGACGGGGGAGGCCCGGGCTTCTTCGGATTCAATGAAATTATTGCATGCCATCTGGACATCACTTTATTGGGACAGGTGACTGGCAGACTGGAGAGCAGGACTGGACATCAGGAAAGAGTCCACGAAGCTTTCTCCCTTGCTACCCCTGGAGCACAGAAGCTGAAGATGAAGCCTGTGGGGGGAAAAACGTTCAGACTGCAAGAAAGTGAAGAAGATGCCGGAGGGACCATTTCTTGTTAAGAAATATGAGTGACTTGCTTTTTTCCACCCGATGGAATCACTTGACTGTCTCACAAGCACTTCAAAGTCAAGGTGTCTCAAGGGACAACACTCTACAGTAGCCTGACCCCCACCCCAGCCGTGGTTTCCCATCTCCTGGTTTCAGCTACTTGCAGTTGGCCTCGGTCCAGAAGGAGAGGGTCCTCCTTCTGACCTATTGATCAGAAGGTCAATAGCAGCCCGAGGCTATATCACCACACCTATGTCGTTCACCTCACTCCATCTCATCAAGTAGGCATGTTATCATCTCACATCATCATAGGAAGGGAGCGTATAGTACAAGATATTTTGAGAGAGAGAGAGAGAGAGAGAGAGAGAGAGAGTGAGAGACCACATTTACCTAACTTTTATCACAGTTTATTTTTATAATTGTTTCATTTTGTTATTCATTAATGTTGTTAATCCCTTACTGTGACTTATTTATAAATTAAACTTTATCGTAGGTATGTATGCACAGGAAAGGAACACAGCATGTACAGGGTTTAGTCCTATCCGTGGTTTCAGGCATCCACCTGGGTCTTGGAACATGTCCCCCATGGGTAAAGGGGGGCTACTGTACTGCCAGCCAAACCTGTTCCCTCTCACTGTACAATTCAAATCTCTGCTCTAACCTCCATGACCTACCCAGGTACTCATGCTGGAAAAGTGGGCACACCTAGACTTGTAATCTTCCTCATTCCCCACTGCCCACATTCAATCAATCACCACCTCTGGAAAAGTTCACCTTCCAGACTTTTCTCTACCCCGTTCTGCCTCTTCAGCTCCATCCCTACTGTACCTGGAGAACTGGCGAAACCCTTGTGCCTTTCCTAGGGAATATTGCAATAATTTTCTAACTCCTCTGCTTCCAGTCCTACTCCTTACTCTTACTCCTCTTGAATTAATCTTTATTGAACACTCAGTGATGTGTCTCAAGCACAAATATCATCATATTCCTCTTCTGATGAAAGTCCTTAACTCTACCCAATCATTAATGGGAGGCAGTTGGCGGTCTGTTCCTTGGGGTGACAACGTGAGTAGACGTTTATTGGCCACTTTCATGCTTTGCTGCTTGCTGTGTGCTTATCAGGGTGAAATGTGAACAGACAACTCTCCAATTCTCCTTCACAAGAAGGAGAGCAGGAGAGCCAGGGTTTTATTTGATCACTTTGGGATTTCTTCTTTGCAATGCAGAAACAACTTTCCGTGTTGGCCCCCAAAGGAGCAGGAGATGGGGGCTTCTGTGCCTAAGTGGGAAAAGGGGGGTGTGGTCTGAGCCAGCAGGGCTTAGACGTTGTTGTGCTGCTGATGGCAGTACTGGTGGTTCCCGAGAGTCTGGGTGGGGTGCGCAGTGGTGCCAGCGGTTAGAGACCTGCACCCTGCTCGTTCATGGCATGGTTGGTGGAAGCAGGGGCTTTGGTAGGGTTAGTTAGTTACACTGCTGCCTCACATGGGGGCAAGTTAGACACTGGTGGCCATAGTGGGGAGTGCTTTGCAGAGCAGGGAGTGGCCACTGGATCCATGCCTTAGGCTATGGGAAAGATTGTAGAGCAGAGGATTTCTGATGTCCTCTAGAGCATCTGCAACTGATAGATGGTCCAGTATACGGTAGAGTGTAGCATAGCTCTGGAAAGAGCACAATGATTCTAGGCATGACTGCAGAACAGACTCCCCTCTCAAGTTTGGAACTCATTTCCTGGGTATTTTCCATCCAAGTTTGCAGGAGGGGGAGGTCTCCCCAAATGAGAAAATGTCTTGATGGCAGTAATGAAGGAGGAAAGAATCTGATTTTATTCTCCTTAGAAAAAGTATTTCATTTTCACTTTCTGAAGTCCTTGATGACTTACCATGGGAAACAAGACCTCCCATGATCTGGGGCCCTCTACTACTTCAGCCTCATTTCCTAGCCTTTGTGGCATTGAACTATGTCTTCTGGACCAGTGCTTCTCAAGCTATCTAGGGTGAAAGACCGGATTGGTTTCCAAAAATTTCTAACCGGCTGCAAACTGATATTTCAAAACTGATATTTCAAAACTGATATTTCAAACTGATATTTCAAAACAGAATGTTGCAGCAATATCAGATTGCTATGACGACTTTTAAGGGCTCATTCTCAGTTTCTACACTTAATCTCACCACGGAACAGTGTCAGCGGTTCACTGACCTAGCAACAGATGTGCACAGCACAGCACAACGCTAACCAATTATTTATAATTTCTTTTATATTCACGCAGTTTCTTATCCTGTAAGTCTCAGCTCAGATACCATCTTTTCTAAGCGATTGGCCATTAAATTTCAAGGTACCATGTTTAACTTTACACACCACTGTCTTATTATTTACCATATTAAAGTCCAATTATCTTCCTTACATGTATTGCTCTTCACTTCTTTTTTTTTTTATTAACGTTTATTTATTATTTTTGGGACAGAGAGAGACAGAGCATGAACGGGGGAGGGGCAGAGAGAGAGGGAGACACAGAATCGGAAACAGGCTCCAGGCTCTGAGCCATCAGCCCAGAGCCCGACGCGGGGCTCGAACTCACGGACCGCGAGATCGTGACCTGGTTGAAGTCGGACACTTAACCGACTGCGCCACCCAGGCGCCCCTCGAATTTAGATTTTCAAATGCAGCATATGATATTATTTGCTTCACCAGTATGATTTTTAAAAATTAGAAAAAAAAGGTTTAATTAAATTGAAGGTTATAATTTTTTTGGTCTTAATTCACATTTTTTAAGATTTTATAGTAACTCTTCTGTAATTTTATATTATCATTTCTATTCCTTCCTCTATGAATTGCCTGTTCCTAGCCTTTGCTCATTTTTCTATTTCCTAATCTGTATAATGCCTTTGGTATATTTAAGAAGTTAATTATTTGGTCTCATGTTTTTGACAAACATTTTCCCAATTTGTTTTTTGTTTCATAATTTTCTTTATGATATATTTTTTTTTTGTGCTTGGAAGTTTTAAGTCATGATGTGGTAGAATTCCTATCTTTTCCATTGACTTTCCTTATACTGTTTTGTGTTTTAAAAAATTTTAATCAGTTACTTAAAAAACATACATAAATTCTTTTACTCTCTCTTTTTGCATCGTTCTTTTTATACATATTTCCCCATAAAGACATTATTAGCTAATGTCCCCACCTCCATGCTCATTATTGACCAATTTGCTCAGACCATTTGTTGGCATCAATAAAAAAAGAATGTACTTTGCCTGTTCCACGTTTTTGCATAGAAATTTTGGGCTTAGCAGAAGTTCTTTGCGACAGCAAACCCATTCATCTAGCCATGTCATCCTTACCACTCCCTGTTGTAAGAGAATTAATCTCAGAAGAAGATAACAGAGCACATTTACATTATAAATGAGCCCACATATATCTAGAATTGCATACCATTAATATGTTTCTAATCTTTGATTCTGGTGGCCTTCAAAACTTAACAGAAATTATTTCCACATTAATAGCTATTTTGAAGGTGGTACCAGGTAATAGATGGGACCAAAGTGATTTATATAGGGAAAGTTTAAGCTGATGTGATCCTTTTCTTATTCTTAAAAAGTTATGATCCCTAAATGGAGCAATCCATCTGCAGTGAAAGGATAATATTTTACTGAAGCCCTTACCAATTTTCCTCTTGTTGGTATAAAATCTCCGAGATTTTAAAATCTGTTTGAATTGATGAATCAGTGTCAATCATGCTCACACAGCTTTTAATTTTTTTTCTCTAATTATTATCTTATTTCTTGTATGTGATTTAATGTTACCACTAGGCAAACTTTGGAGAGGGCAAGAATCATAAGTTATAAGTATTTTGGAATTCTTCTCTGCCCTGCCAAATCACATTAAATATAATGCTCTGCACAAAACAGAGGATTGATATATGAAGCGGCAAACATTAAGTTTATCCAGAATTTGATTTTGAGACGAAAGATTTTAACATTGTGAACTTTGCTACTCCCCACAGTTCCAAAATTCCCCACTTCTTTTCCCAAAGCTTCTGGTTCTGATGACTACATTCCTATTTATTCTGAATCTCTTGAGTTGATATCTGATGTCTAATTGATAATCTAGAAAGTCATTGCTCACTGGTTACTGCGTTCAAAGTACAATGATTGCCAAGAGAAATAGACTGAAAAAAAGTTAGACAAATAGTCGAATTGATGTGTCAAGCTTGTTTCTTCCTGTTCCGATCTTTACTCGTCAGAACATGGTTATGTGATTCCAAAATTACAGAGACGAGAGACAAAAGCTACTTATTTCTGAGAACTTAAAGACATGAAATTAAAGGCTAGGAATATTTTTTAAAGTATAAAAAAATGGAAAGGAATCGGAACTGGACAAAAGTTTATTTTGTTGAGCTTGTTTGGGTCCCCACTATCCCTCACTTCTGTATACCTTTTCTTTCCAACTGAAAAGAAGACTTTGTCTTCTGCCAAACTGGACAGTTGGTCACTAAGAGTTGAGCATTTTGATAATTTAGAAAGCATCTTTTGACTAGCCACAAGGTTGCAAAGGAACCCTAGCAGGCATGAGAGCAAGGTTGCCATGTACTAGGTAGGTTTGGACCACCTGCCTCCACAAGCTTCTTAAATTTCTCAGCTTCTCCAACTTTGCATCTAAAAATGTCCATCACGAAAGGATAGGCAGAATCTCAGATTCTTCTCTTTCTAATCCACCCTTGCTGGCTAGAAAGGGATAGATTCTGACACTGGTGTTCACATCTGGATGGCAGTCCTCTGTCTCCATCTCCTGCTACTGGCTGGAGAAACGTGGCAAGCATCATTTATTCGACAAGTGCTCTCTGAGTGTCCGTGACGGCGCTGTATTACTAGCTGGGTAGTAGACATAGGTAGTGGACACGAAAATAATATCCCTTCCTCTGGACACCACCCAGAGTGCCTACCATCGTGGTCAGGTCAATTCTGGGCATATGCGTATTTGTTCGTTCTTTTGCTTTTTTACTGTTAGTTGCCGGAGGGTAAATTCTTCTGCAGGTTCTAAAAAGCATCAAACGCTAATTGTGAGGGCACTTAATCAATGCATCTTGTGAAAACTAAACTAAAATAGGAAGAAAATCTTCTTACTCAATTCTAGGAAAGCAAAAGACAATCTCATGCTAAACCAAGAGGGTTGATTCTAGCAGGCAAGAAACTGGCCTGAGCTGTTTTACTGAAAGAGGAAATGTATGTGCATTGCACGGACTCCCGGTCAAAGCACAGAATATACAGAGTAACAGTGTTGCTCGTAACCATAGTTTTGAGAGGTTTCAATTATTTATTGATTCACAATTGCTGCAATGAGATTGCAGCACAGATTGAGAACATTTGCATCTGTTCTCATAGAGACACTGGCGGGCTCTGTGTCTCAGCTAGTTATTTCGCAACACTATGCCTTCGTGACCCGCTGCATACCAGAAACCCCAGCTGAGACTACCTTTTTGGATCACCTTGCTTGAGGTGCTTTGTATACACATCCATGGTTCCTGAACCCACAGGGAAGGGATGTCCCGGTGCAGTCTTTACAGAGGGAGGACAAATGGACCTCCTACCTCCCTCCTCTGAACCCCTTGCCCTCTGCCAGTCTTTGGCTGGGATGCATCTCCTTACCTTAGCGCAGCTGCTGTATCACATCTTTTTCTTGCAATAAACTGAAAATTTGTAAGCATTGCCATTCTGGGTCCTTTGAGTCTCTGTTAACAATAGAACCCTGTCTAACTGCCACTGTTAGTGTGCATATTCTGGCCGAGGTAAAGGCAAAGTGCATTTACGTGAAAACATTGCCAATAGGCAGAGTGAATTGTAGCAGGCAAGGCAACTGGAAGAATCTTCTATAGCCCCCAATATATGCAGTTCTCTGGCAAATCTTCTTAGAGTTTGTTTTTAGACAAATAGATAATGATGGTCTCCCTGACACAAACCATTAACTTTTCAGCTTCTAAAGTCTTTGGAGATAATCTAAGCTACAGCACTCTAACAAAGCAGATATTAATGAGCATCTCACTGAATGAAATTAAAAAAACTTACATATTTATTGCCCAGGTGTGGAGAGGATTCGTCAAGCTGTCAGTTCTTGGTTTTTCCTTGTGCAGAGTGCTCACCTACAAACAAAAGAAATGTTTTGATCTCTAAGCTCAGAGAGTGAATAGGGATGAAAATAAGGTTTCTTGGCTTGTTTTTTATTTTTCAAGGAAAGTCCAATTTCCCAGTAAGAATGTCATTAGACCCAAAATCTGCCTCTTGGTATCGCCTGGAAATTGTTCACCAAGATTTATGAGCTTTGTTCCACCATCATCTGTTTCCACCCTAAAGGAGCAATGCTCAACTAATTCTCTGGGAGCAGGGGTTGTGAGTCAGGAAGTGATAATAAGAGAGGCACTCTCGGGAATGAGTTATAGTTTTTTGCTTGTTCCTTGAGCCTAAGCAAAACTGTATTATATATTTAAACTGCCATTTTATCAGGAAGACATTCTAGGGTCCTCTGTTTAAAGAGTTGGGTAAGAGTTTTGTGAAAAGGAATTTGGAAGCCAACATAAACCCTTTGGTGATATACAGAGCAGTAGAGGGGGCTTTAGTCAAAATAACAGTGTTATTCCGTCACCCAATATAAATATAAATAAATATAAATATAAATATAAATATAAATATAAATATAAATACAAATATAAATACAAATGTAAATATAAATATAAATATAAATATAAATATAAATATTGACCTAGGATAATGGGAAGCAGAGGATCCCAAGTCTTTTTACATGCCCCTGAATTCATTCATGATCAACACACTGCATGCTACCTGCATCTTTCAGGTAGATTCAAGTATCGACATCAGTCACACTATATAAAAGCGGTATGGGTCAAAGTCTCCAGCTTTGAGAATAAATGTCGTTGTTTTGCTCCAACTTTTATCTGTCTTTTAGAAACCGGTCTTCTGGGAACTCCGTTAATGTCACCTGTCACCGGCACTATCATGGTGATACTAAATGGTGCCAGAGACCAACGAGGAGAACAACCCGGGACTCCCTTTCAAGAACCCCTTAGGTGCCATGCTCTGAGAAATCCCGGGCACAGAGTGACAGCCCTCCTAGCCGCTTTCCAGCACAACTCTGTGCTCGCTATTGTTATTTTGCAAAAAGCACAGAACCTCCTGGAATCCGTGACTATGAAGTACAGGAATGAGAAATGAACAAAATAAAAAAATTATTGAACCCCTACTGTTTGTCAGAGTCATGTCAGGCGAAGCTTATGAAAATCATTCCAATTCTTTCTTTTAATTTGTTTTTTACATTTATTTTTGAGCAACAGAGAGAGAGAGAGAGAGAGAGAGAGAGAGAGAAAGTGTGAGTGGGGGAGGGGCAGAGAGAGAAGGAGTCACAGAATCGGAAGCAGGATCCAGGCTCTGAGCTGTCAGCACAGAGCCCAACGCGGGGCTCGGACCCACGAATCGTGAGGTCATGACCTGAGGCAAAGTTGGACCCTCAGCTGACTGAGCCACCTAGGTGCCCCGAAAATCATTCCAATTCTTAATATCTCCCTCCAAGTTCTGTCTAACTGGGAATAGAAAATACGAGAAAGATTCAGTTACAATATGAATCCAATAGGTTATAATAATGTCTTTGGTAAAAGCAAATGAAACACGCACCTACAAAAGAAACAGCTGGAAAGAGATACACCAAGCCATTAATGATTGTATTGTGTTGCATTTCATGAGAACTTTTTAATTCTTTTCTATTCTCTAGTTTTCTCTATTCTCCATTATGCAAAATGTGGTCAAATATTAAAATGGAAGTTTAAGGGGCTCTTGGGTGGCTCAGTCAGTTAAGTGTCTGACTTCGGCTCAGGTCATGAGCTCACAGCTTGTGAGTTCGAGCCCTGTGTCGGGGTCTGTGCTGACAGCTCAGAGCCTGGAGCCTGCTTCGGATCCTGTCTCCATATCTCTCTGCTGCTCCCCCACTCATGCTCACCGTCTCTCTCTCTCTCTTCCTCTCTCTCAAGTATGAATAAACATTAACAAAAATTAATAAAAAATAAATAAAATGGAAGTGTAAGCCATGAAGAGCTATTTCAAGGCAGTGATATATATTGACTTGCCAAATGAAAAAAAAAACAAGTTTGGAAGAGGAAAAGACCATGTACACCTAGGACAATCAAGGAAGGCTTGATGGAAATGCAGGGTATGGGCAGATATTGAAGGGCTGAGAAGACAGAAGCTGGATCGATGTATGCCTTTCTAAATCCATTCATCTTTTTCCTCATCTTCACCCTTTCATTCATTCATTCATTCATTCTTTCTTTCTTTCTTTCATTTGTAAAAATGAATAAGCAAAAAAATGACTGCACATTTAAGGAGTAATTACCATAATATACTAATTAGTGTTCATATACTAACAATATACTCATAATGTGTCATTACCGTCCGTAATGGGGAAGTGGCAGGGGGTGGGGGCGAGAAGGCTTGACAAAAGGGAGCAAGACACCATCTCCTCCTTCAAAAGAGCTTGAGTTCAGCAAGGAAGACAGGGATGGGAGATGAATAGTGCCTGGAGAATATGAGTTAGTACGTGGTTCGCAAACTAAGCAAGAGGAAGTCTGGTGCATCGCGAAAGGCCTTGTAGACATGCCAAAGTGTTTGAACTTCATCTTAGATAATACAAACCTAGCAGTTTTCTAAGCAGAGGAAACTTATGAGTTAAGATCTGCTTTTTCTTCTTCCACATGGTTCAATATCAAGTAGTGCTTTATTTTTTTACCTTTATTTATTTATTTTGAGAGAGAGAGAGAGAACAGGACAAGCAGTCTCTGTGCTGTCAGTGCAGAGCCCGAGGTGGGGCTCGATCTCATGAACTGTGAGATCGTGACCTGAGCTGAAATCAAGAGTCAGACATTTAGCCGACTGATCCACCCAAGCATGCCTCAAGTAGTACTTTAAAATGAAATTCAAAGATACTATGCTTTCTTTCTTCTGGGAAGTCATATATTCTTTAAGGAATTTTCCTCATAATCCTTGCAGTCTTTAATATTAAAAAAAGGCAGTGTATATTAACTTTCTGAGATGTGATATAAGTAGCAATCATATTTAAAATGCATTATGGCACATATGTATATTTTGCAGTCAATCATGGTAATGTTTAACTTGGCAAGATTTCTAACTAAAGCTGAGTGGGATCTTGTATGTTCTCATAAAGGGTTGCCTGATCTGCTATATTTGGTGCTCATTTCTTTCTGAAAGCAGATTCTTGTTGTACTCTAGCAGACTTTTTCTTTTACATTGAAGAAAACTCCTAATTTAAATAATCAAATTGCAAACATTTATGGGTTACATTTTCAGCAGAAGAACCTACTTGAGAGAGCACATATTTGAAGAAAGCAAGAGGTGTGGATGGATAAACAACATGGCCTAATCAGAAGAGGCTTTGGAGCAAGGAACTGTCTTAGTAGGAGAAAATGACCAGAACAATAACTATGGCTCATGGAGGCTTCTGGAAACCCAGACACTTTAGTATTCACTGGCATTTCCCCTGAAGATGGGTTGCTACAGAGCTCTGTTTCCTTGGAAACATGATTTATTGACCTCTAAAATGGCACAGTTTATTCTGAGATATAATACCAGAGTTTATAAATTAAAGTACTGACTAATCCAATGAGTTCTTATGGCCATTGAAGCTCAAATTTCATTTTGTTACCACTTAGGCACATTAGCACTATATTTCTTAGGCCACAGAGCAAATAACATGAATCGTAACAGTCATCAATTCTGAGTGGTGGGTAGTCAGATAGTCGCTCTATCAAATTTTTTTCTGTATTTTTCAGATTTATTAAAACTTTTATATAGGAGATAGTGGAAAATTTGGCCAAAGGTGTGCATTTGTACCAAACCTAACCATTTTAGGTTTTATTCTAGTTACCTTTGAGGAAAAGTGTTACTGTTGGGCAAAAGATATTTGGGTAAAAATAGTTATAACAATGTAACTTCTGTTGAGTATTGTGAGCATAGTTTTATTTAAAAAACATATTTGAATTTAAAAGAGAGTGAACAGAGATTTGTTGATGAGTGTTTCAGGGGCCAGACTTTAATAAAAATTGTGGTAGTACAGGGGCGCCTGGGTGGCGCAGTCGGTTAAGCGTCCGACTTCAGCCAGGTCACGATCTCGCAGTCCGTGAGTTCAAGCCCTGCGTCGGCTCTGGGCTGATGGCTCAGAGCCTGGAGCCTGTTTCGGATTCTGTGTCTCCCTCTCTCTCTGCCCCTCCCCCGTTCATGCTCTGTCTCTCTCCGTCCCAAAAATAAATAAATGTTGAAAAAAAAATTGTGGTAGTACAAACAGCATTTGGAGATCATTGTGTTTTAGATTATTAATTCTAGGCTATTGAAACAGACTCTGAATGCACAATTTCAGTTTTTTCCTATCACCAAATATTTCCCATGAAAATCAGGATGGGCTGACCATTGAGAGGTTACTTCATTAAAAGAGGTATGATTCTTAAATTAAGGTTGGCAGAAATAAAGGAACCAGAGAATAGATTTTATTATTTCCATGGTAATACTTCCTCCTTAAACCTGTGACCTAAAAATTTGCTTACGATGAAAAGGAATCTTGGAGAATTAAGGGTCTTCCTAACTACCTCACCATAGTCTATTTCACTGATTAGTTACCCTTGTGACAATGTGAGTGGGAGATATCAGTTTATGTCGAATTTTCCTTGGACCTTAAAGAAGAATCATGTACTAAATTTGCAACCAAGAAACACAAGCTTCTCTGGAGTTTTCCAATCCTCAAGCCTCAATTCTGGTGTCAGTTGTCATTTCCCTGATAGAAATGGGGGGCATTAGAGTAGGTGGTCCTGATCCCAGCCCTCTCCTCACAAGGATAGCCACAGGGGCTCTGCATGGAGGCTTCTTCCAAATGCTCGTTAGCCTGCTAACCCATAGCTCGGAGAGCCCCAAGGCTGCAGAGTGTTTTGTTAAATCCCCAAGGGATTAAGGAGAGTGCATGAAATTATTGTGATGCTTGTCTACACACAGGCAGGTTTGGAGAACTTTTCTTGGCAAATGGTGTGATCATCATTTAAGATCCTTATTTAAGACTAGTTCACATGTAGGCTGGTCTTCCCTGACCTGGTAGAATAGGCATAGCAATTTAGTTGAGGCTGGGGAACAACCAGGGGAAAACTGTAAGTGGTTTCCAATTATTCTATGAATGAATTTTATTCCTTTGCCCATTCAGACGGTTACCTCCAAGAGGACACAGTGGGAATAAAGGAAATGTGTACATCGAAGAGTAGCCTAGATGCAAGGAAGAAGAAGGTCTCTCATAAGACCAAATGACTCACATGAGGGGTCTGGGCATGTCTGCAGATTCTGGGTACCCTTCCTCAGTTTTCAAGTCTTCTGTCTGCCTGGTGTAGTTTGTTCTAGTTAGAACTTCCTACCTGAAGTTGGGACCACATCCAGCCTTTGATATCTTGCTCTTGAATTGGACAATATTGGCTGCTTTTTGTTTGCCAAAATTGTTTTTTGCTGCATATGTAAAATGGAGCCGGTCATTCTAAAGCTCTCATGTTACATACCATCTGTATTCTGTGACTATTTTGTACAGGTGAAATGGGGGGACTGCATATTGTAAGTGTACTCATTTAACTTGATATTTAAATTAGATCCACATGGATTGCTTTGTTGAGTGAATAATTATCTTTTATTTTTTTTATTTTGTATTTTAGAGGGAGAGAGAGAGAGAGAGAGAGAGAGAGAGAGAGAGAGAGAAAGAGAGAGAGAATATGAGGGGCAGAGGAAGAAAGAAAGAATCCCAAGCTCTGCATGGAGCCTGATGCAGGGCTCGATCCCATGGTCCTGGGATCATGACCTGAGCCCAAATCAAGAGTCGGATGTTCAACCAACTGAGCCACCCAGGTGCCCCTATTATTCATATGGCTGTTTTGTAATACTGATGTTTTAAATATTGGGTCTACCCAAAACAAGAAAAAAATCTGTAATTCTTCATTTCTTAAAAGCTTTCTGACATTTCATTTTTCATTACTCTTGATGCAAATATAATTAATATAAATCACAATCTATGTTTTGAAGAACTTACACATTTCAAATCTAATTAAAAAACTTAGGAAATTGGAAAAAAGAAATTTAAATGTTACCAACAGGAGATTGTTTTCTCCTCATTGAGAAACCCAATTAAAATTATATGAAATGATACAAAATAGGATTTATATTTTTAACTGATGAGTCCTGGTTCTAGCTGACTATAGATAGCCCTTAGCAAAAATAAAACAACAGCATTAATAAAAAACCGGGTGGTACATTTAATGTTCCTTCTGCTACTGCTACAGAATAGAAAATGCCTCAAGTCCCCACCCCTTCTTTAGAACACATATACATATCATAAAAAGCAACCTCTAAAAGTACCATAGTCCAATAATCTTACCAAAAATAATATTTCTAGGATTCATCTTTCCCCAATAGGAGAATTTTGTATTTTGGGAGAGTTACTAATTATTTCCAAATAAATTATGCTTTTTGATTGTGTTTCACATGAACAAAATCCAAGTTCAATTTTGAAATAACCATTTTCAGGGGCACCTGAGTGGCTTAGTTGGTTAAGCGTCTGACCGGCTCAGGTCATGATCTCACGGTTCATGGGTTCAAGCCCCGCGTCGGGCTCTGTGCTGACAGCTCAGAGCCTGGAGCCTGCTTTGGATTCTGTACCTCCCTCTCTCTGTCTGTCCCCCACTCACGCTCTGTCTCTCTCTGTCTCTCAAAAATGAATACATGTTAAAAAAAATTTGAAATAACCATTTTCAGCTAATCGACAATCTGGATACTTACCAGACTCATGAGAAATTGTCTTAACAGTGAGAAGCTTCACACTCTCTTTATCGGATTGAGGTCTATTTGGAACAGAAAACATAAGTGAACACTGCAGTAATTAGCATTGTATGTCTCTGTGAAAGAAAGTATACATAATATAAACAGAATGAAGAAGACACAAAAGCACATATGTGTGTGTGTGTGTGTGTGTGTGTGTGTGTGTGTGTGTTTCTATGGGAAAACCTGTGTCTTTTTACATACAGACAGACGTATACTTTTATAGCACTTTTTGCCTCTAAAATAAAGCCTATCAATCTCTGTCACACCGTTAAGCAATCATAATCAGATAAGACAGAAACAGATCACGTGAAACACTTGACACAAGGTCCATATCACAAAGGTCTCTGGTGCCTGAAGGAAGGCATAGGAATGTTTCCAAACCTTTTGGGCTAATGTTGAGTTCTGGGGATATCCCTTTTCTTGAGGCCCTATGTACCGCACTATAGCAGCTGAACTGTCTATTCTAACCAAGAGTCTCCACTCAATCCTTTCTCAGATTTGAAACAGTTTTAAACCCAGATTCCTTTACTTGGACATCTCAAGAGACTTTGTTTCTAATAAAGAAAGGTAGGTGATCTAGGGATGTTATTTTTAAAGTTCACAACTCCATAAAGGCAACCTACAAATTCAGGTCAACAGCTCCATAAAGGCAACCTACAAATTCAGGTCAACAACAAAAATCTTAACTACAAAATTTGTTTTTGACATTAAAACGATTTGTCTCTTTGGAGAACCTTGACTGTAAGAGTTGCCTGGATGGTAAGCACTGCTTTTTTGTTTTAATAAAGTCAAAGTACAATAACCATCGACTGCTAGGATAAAGCCACTCAATGCTGTCTCAAAGCATAAGCATGATTATTCCCTAACTGTGATGAACATACTGAAATTTTCACTGGGAAAGCTATCTTAAAACTCTATCTTAAAAATCTCTATGAGATTTTTCTTTCTGGCTATTTTTATGCATTCTTTTCTCTTTGCATTCCATGTTTGGATTTCCCATTTTACTACTTTATCCAAGTTTAAGAACAAATCTTCCCTTTTAGTTGTTGGAATCTCTCTGTTGGATAGAGAGTTCTGACAAATAGCCAAAGTCTATTTCTAGTGATTTTTGCACAATTTGTTTTAAAACTAAACAACAAAAAAAGTGTGAGTAGAAGATTAATGTTTCATGTAGATATACAGATACAGATATGATAGAGTCAGAGCTTCTGGAAAAAAAAGATGTGGCTACTTACTGGTCATTTCCATTTTCTGGTGTGCCTAAAGGAGAAGAGAATTGTTATTACAGCTGTGAGAAGCTGGCTACAACCCCCCCCCCCCCCCCCGCAATAAAAGCACCCACTCCCAGACCCCAGCTACTTTCTGTGCAGAGATGTTTATAAAGCCATTTTGTAACTTTTAAAAAATCTCCCCTGCTGCCCCACTCGACTTTTTCTCATATATGGTTACAACTATTCCTCAGGTATGGTTGACACATTCATGGAATAGCCCTAAGTGGGACAACTCCCCTGAATTTAGTTCTGGACTAATTTTAATTTTATAGTTTCATATTGCTATGTGAAACTACTATCCATGGTCACACATCCCACAGACAGCAGAAAATGTTTCAGTTTATTTTAGTATCTCTGAAAAAAAAATTTTCCTCAAAATATCCAATTACCTTTTTATACCAGAGAATTGGATTTTTGGCTCTCCTTTATACATTGCTCTTTCTGGAGACACAAGCCACTGTATTTGTGGCGAACGACGACGTAGACATTGCCTCTAATTGCATCTGGAGCCCACTGATTCAGCCTCTCAAAAGTGCCCTGCAAAATGTCACTGAGGCTACTAACTATAGCTAATCTTTTGTTTGCTTTGCCTGGCTGCTGCGCCAGTCTGGTAGAAGACATTTTGGGTGTAGAGTGAGAATTCAGAATGATTCATTCTGCACAAAGCCTTGGCCTTTAGGGAGGATATGTTGGTGGTCAAACCTTGTGGCAAATTAGGCAAACTATTTAATGTAATTGCCTAGGGCCCCCTTGTTTTGTTCCTGACTGTGCTGTGGTTTTATTTCATTGCTACTCAGCTTTCCTCGCTTGGAATTCCTTTCACGTCTAACGTAGCCCTTGTCATTGGGATGGGCCTTTTCACTCTAAGTCTCCTGGCAATGACCATCATTGTTTTATAAAGAGTTTGATTTCCACTAATATTTTGGCTACTTCTATTTCTGTCATCTTGGCTAAGATACACCATCATGACTCTTAATCCCTAGGATATAATTCATGGCGCCATATGCTGTTCACCAGTCTAACTCTGTGTTCCCAACATCAGTAGGATTTTAACAGCATTTTTAAATTCCTATTTTAAGTGTTATGTATGATATCACTCATGATGCTTATGGCCCTGCTTCAAAGTGAGTTGATATTTTTTTCTATGCCTTTTTTTCCCCTTAGAATACTGTAATACAGGTTCATTAGCAGAATGAACAGACTACCTTCTGCATAGGTGCTGTTCTTACTTAGGTTAAAGCTCGGACTACTGTCAACATTATCCAGATAAGCTTAATTTTATACTGACATCTCTGATTCGTATTGTCTTCCAGAAAGCAGAGAATGTTTACAAATTTTCTGAACTTGAAGTCTAAGGCACACACTTGAAGAGAGTTGAACTGTGGGTGTTTCATGGTGCTAATTTAATAACAATGCTGTCAAAGTCTGTTCGGAAAGCAAAGTTAACAATAACCACATAGATTTTGCTGATTGTACAATTACCGAACTTGGTTATAAAGTATTATATGCTTTCAAAATAACTCTCCAGGGGCCCCTGGGTGGCTCAGTCGGTTGAGCATCCGACTTTGGCTCAGGTCATGATCTCACAGTTTGTGGCTTCAAGCCCCGCATCAGGCTCTGTGCTGACAGCTTGCTCAGAGCCTGCAGCCTGCTTCAGATTCTGTGTCTCCTTCTCTCTCTCTGCCCCTCCCCCGCTCATGCTCTCTCTCTCTCTCTCTCTCTCTCTCTCAAAAATAAATAAATGTTAAAAAAAAAAAAGAATAACTCTCCATAGCTATAGGTATTTTATACATTTTTTTTCCCCTGAATAATAGAAAACGTCAACTTTTCAAATAACTTAGTTGCAAATCTTCTTATGCAAAGCAGTCTTTCAGTACCGGGTATTTTTACAAATGGATTTAGCACATTAATTTTTTACCTATCCTACTCAACACCCACAGGCTTCAACTTGGATAGTCGATTTCCCATATAAAATAGTATTGGTGTTTTAGAAACTTAGAGAAATTAAACTGATTTATAAAATTGCTATTTCCCCTCTGGAAACTAAGGAAACATTTCAGACATTATTAAGAAGTTTATTCACTAACTCCCAAAGGGAAAGGCATTTCTTTGTTTTTTTCTTATTTTCCAATAAGAGCTATAATGAACACTACTGTTTTTCGTAACTTTGCCTCGTACTGTCATGCTTGGGCCCCGAACTCTCCGTGAGGTACATGGTCAGAGATTGGGCTCAGGAGCAGCATCCACTAGTGTCCTGGGAGCACATTGTTCAAGGGGGTAAACCCAGAATAGTGTGGCTTGCATATCTTATAAAAATAATTGATGTTTACTTTTTTAAGAGTATATGAGACTTAGGTAGCGTTGTGTTAGTAAAATATTTAGAATTGAAGTGAGGTAAGGGAAGGTTCCATTTTACTGAAAATTAAAAATTTAAGTCAACAAGCAGCAAGCAAGGCTCTGCTATGTATTATACACAGTGCAATGTGAACGATATGTGGTTTGTGACTTGGAGGGCTTGCCCGATGTCACGGACTGAATGTCTGTGTCCTAAAACTCATCTGTTAAATCTTAATGCCCAATGGGATAGTATTGGGAGGTGGAACCTTTGGAAGGTCATTAGGTCAGGAAGGTGGAGTCCTCATGAAGGGGATTTGTGCCCTTATAAAAGAGATCCCAGAGAGCTCTCCTGTCCCCTCTGCCTTGTGAAGACACGGTAAAAGGGTGGCTTTCTACAAAGCGGGGAGAGTGCCCTCATCAGACATCAAATCTGAGGATGCCTGGATCGGACTTCTCAGCTTCTAGAACTGTGAGAAATGTTTGTTGTTTAAACCACCCTACTGTGGTATTTTTGTTATGGCAGCCCCAACAAAGACCCACCCTGCAGTGGACGCAGGCACATAGAGAAGTAACTGTATGATAATGTGATGAATAATATTACAAAATTCTGTGCAAGTAGAAGTAACAAAACACTCTACTCCTCTTAAAGAGATGGCATGTTATAGAAAGATACACTCAATGGCTGTCTGAGCTAGGTCTTTATGGATAAATTGCAGATCAGGTATGTCATAAAAGGTAAGTGGTGAGCAAGGTGTTCTAGGAGAGGGAATAGCATGGATGAGGGCCCTCCACTAGACAACCAGGGCTCAGGTCTGGGATGGAAAGATAGGTTTATGCTTAAGGCAACAGAAAGGGGGTTGCTGAGCCATGGGAACTGAAAGGGGTTCAAGAGAGCTCAAGTGTCTGGGACAGGAGACAGACTGAAAAAAGACTAGGAAATCTGAATGAAGTAAGGATTTAGTTAATAACAATGCATTGATTGGTTCATTAATTGTGGCAAATATAGAATACTACTGTCAGATATTAATAATAAGGGAAATGGGGTGTGCGGTGTAGGGGAACTCTTTAACTATCTTTGTGACTTTTCTGTAAATCTCAGTCTCTTTTAAAATAAAAAAAATTATTAAAAAAATAAAAACATAATGCAATTATGTATTTAAGAGGAGGGAAAAGAAGATGAAGTAGCAAAAAGAAAAAAAAAAGAAAAACAAAGAGTGACAACATAAAAGAGAGCAGTGCTATTTATTTATTTATTTTCACTTCAGGAGTAGAGTTTAGTGATTCATCACTTGCATACAACATCCAGTGCACATCACAACAAGTGCCCTCCTTAATGCCTGTCACCCATCTATGCCATTCCTCCTCCTACTCACCCACTCACCTCCCTTCCGGCAATCCTCAGTTTGTTCTCTACAGTTAAGAATAGCAGTGCCATTTTAAAGAAAAGTGGAAGGACCTTAAATGTTATTGGAGAGATGAAGGAGGATAATAAAGAACCGTCACACTTAAGTCTGGCGAAAAATTGCCATCGTGTTCGGTCTTGAGGAGATGAGTCAATTAGCAGAACACACAGTCATGGAACACACCTTCATCGAAAGGAAGATGTCTCCCCCAGGCATGAATAAGTCACAGAACGCTCCTCTAGAGATTGTGGGCCCCTCAACTAAATCCTTAGCAATACTTACCTTTATTTTGTGTCACATGGAAGTGGACAAAAATCTTCACTACAGATAAGGGATGTCATTTTATGCCTTTACTACCATAATCCCCTGACCACTCACAAAACTGGGGTTATTTCATTAAAAATAATCTGTTCATATTTGATTATATCTGCCACTAGTAAATCCTCACTCCTTACATTCGTTAGCGTTCAATGGGTTTCTCTGTCCCTTCTCTTCTAGTTCTGTGATGAAGCAACATGGCATTTTCTTTCAGCAATCCTCCTCTCCCCTCAAGAGTTTAAATTCAAGTTTAGACTGAATATATATTCATTTTTCAGGAAACAAAATGAGACAAAACCCTGTCACCTACCTGGGTCGGTCTTCCAGCACATTCGATACAAACCCACAAGAATAAATGCTGAAAGGGTCACCACAATCAAAGCAATGACCACTGGCAGAATAATACCTAAAACGTATTGAAGACATTGTCAATTAGCGTGGCTGCTGAATTTAACAGTAAGTGGTTTACTGAGCAAAAGCATGCATGCATCCTTCCTTCTTCGAGCATCACTCTATTAGACATATTATATTTTAGGCAAAGAAGATTTATCTGATTCAAAGGTTTTGCTCTGGTTGTCATTTCTGACATATCCACTTGATGTCAGTCTTGCAGCCTTTTGAAATAAAATTGTAAACCTAAGGGAGCTGGTTCCTCACCTTAGTTAGACACTGGAGAAGTGAAGCAAATGGAAGACTGGAGATGTCCTCTAGACTATAGTGTGACCCACATTCACACACTATATTCTTTACTACTGTATAATAAGGTTACTGATCTATCATCTATTATCTCTCTATCTGTCTATCATCATCATCTATATCTCCCATACTGGAACTGCTCTAGTCATAATGTTGGCATCCTAAAATATCACAAATATCTTTCCATAATGACATCTTAAAACTAGAAAGAGCATAAAATAGCATAAGTGGATATAAGTGGAAAGCAGAATCGATTTCTAAAAGTGAACACATGGTCCAAGAGAGACGTATGTGGATGTGGTCATGCATTTAAGGGAGAGGTGTTGTGACAGTAAGTTAGGGTGAGTTTTTAAGAGGAGAGTCTTGCTGTTTTGCTTTGTTTTTAGCACCTGCCTTATGTTCTGACAGTCATTTCCCAAGACAGCTGTCATGAGGATACAACCAGAGATGTAGAGGTTATAGTTCTTATTTAATTAGTTATTCTTAGCTGCTTGCATATGTACTCCTTATATTTATCCAATTCTTTTGTAGGATGGCTTACACTTCCAATTTTATGGTTAAATGCTTGTTTCATATGAGACCTTGAGTGAGATCATTGGTGCCTCCCAAAATGAAGATGCCACGAATTAGCACGTCAGTAAATGTAATGCTGACTTATTGAATAGAATGGCTTTACCTAAAATTAGACAATCTTTTCTAATCCAGTTTCATATACATTCACTTTATCCTTAATTTCTAGAGAAATTAATGGATTTTTTTCTATTCAGTCCTAGAATACACATGTGTTATATGACATATATATGTTTTTGCTAAAATGGGGCATTTCTTTAAAGGCCATTTTTAACATTAAGGTAGAGTTCTCTGAAGATAAACAATTCATTTTTATAGACCCCTCTGCCTGTGCACTTTTGCTTATCTGAGACTAGTCTCATCAATTCACCTTGACCCTAGGTGGTAATTGCTGAGCACTAAAGTAAGAAAAAATCCCAAGGGTGTGCTCATTAAAACCAGACTCAAGGGGCACCTCGGTGGCTCAGTCAGTTGAGCATCCGACTTCAGCTCAGGTCATGATCTCACGGTTTGTGGGTTGGAGCCCTGCTTCAGGCTCTGTGCTGACAGCTCGGAGCCTGGAGCCTGCTTCAGACTCTGCGTCTCCCTCTCTCTCTGCCCTTCCCCAACTCGTGCTGTCTCACTCTTTCAAAAATAAACACATTAAAAAATTAAAAAAAAAAAAAAAAAAACAAAACCAGACTCAATAGTAGGAAATTCTTAAGCGAGCAGCAGTTAGATAGAATTATAATGGGATTGCAGGTTCAGTAAAGTTGATAAAGGCTGTCTATAATTGAATCCTCTCCTTTATCAGTCACATTCAAACGTTCTGCGTATTTATCGCCGTGAATGAAGATATGTCCGTTACTCACTGGAATAAGAGGGGCTGGCTGAAGAAGAGCTTGCATTTTTTGCATCCTCAGTATCTATTATTTTAAGAAAGAAAAAAAAAATAAATCACCTTTGGTTAATGTATGCCATTTTCCCAGTCCTTCCCCACCCACCCTCTCCTCCCATTTAAGCAAGCCTCTGTGATCTATAAGTATGATGCTTCAAGCGGAAAACAACAACAACAACAACCCCCCCCCAAAAAAAAAAACTATCTCATTCTGAAAGGGCTCTGTTTTGTACATCAAGTTTGGTAGGGAGTTAATGTATACAACTTGATGAGTTTGGACAAAGGTATATGCCTGTGAAACTATCATCACAAGCAAGGTAATAGATAAATCTATCACTTGCAACGTTTGCTTGTGTCCCTGCAGTTTTGTTTTGTATTTCGATTATACCTCAATAAAGCTTTTTTAAAAAGACTGTAGGGTTTTCTTGGTGAGAAGAGATCAAGTAACCAAGCTTCCACTCATATTACACAGAAGTCATACCTTGAAACTGGGAGATGTTTCCTGGAATTGTTATTGATATTGAGGGTAATGTACTGGCATTAGAAGGTGATGTCTCTGGATGTAGAGTGTTAACTGTAGGGAAATCACAAATGCAGTCAGACGAGGGTATTGGTTCTTCTTACTGAATTTCTTTGTGGCTGTAAACAGTTTGCATTTCTGAAGACCCGTGAAAATGGTTTATTGTTGAATAATAAGATACATACAACCGTACACTTAATCATAAGTTCATCTATTCTTCCTGTAAAGACGATTAAATTTGGAATCACAAAACCTGGGCGTCAGCATCACGTCTTCGAGAATTGGCCAAGAAAACTTGAGCAAGTCTCTCTTCCTAAGCTGCTGCCTTTATCACCTGCTTCATGAAATTCTTGTGGGATGTGAATCTATTCAAAAACAGTACTCACATTTCAGATATTACAACTTTGGCGGATGGTGGTTTTTTTTTTTTCCCCACTGTACTTAAAATAGACATAAATGCATAGGACTTCAGATTTTATCGTGTTTCTTGGTGGTTGAAGAAAAGATTGCAGTTGAGGCTTTGATTAGAAGGATTGGCTGGGGAAAATATCAAGGAAAATTCCTTCATTTGCACCTTTGAAGCTCAGTAGTTGTTTATATTTATGTGCCTTCTTTAGAAGAACTGCTGCTTGGTTGCATTTCTGCCACCATCCATGCTCTTTTCTTCCAAAGGAAATATTAATTTTAACTTATTATTATTCTCATTAATGTGTTTACTTAAGTCAACATCTGCAACCTTCAATCAGAAGGACTGAAACAAAAATTATAAATAAAGTTGCATTATTCAAAACCCACTGATCTCAATAAGTTGCAAAGAAATATAAATACCTAAGTGCTTCGTAAACTTAAAGCATCTATCCTCGTGAATTTGGGATAAAGCACAGTTTGCGTTTCGAATGATTTTGGAAAAGAATTATTTTTCAAAGAATGCAGTTTAAAAGGATTTCTTTTTATCACACCTGCTTGGCTTGTCTCGCTGCTAAATTTTAAGTTCTGGCAGTGTGAAGGCCATAACCCCCACCATCCTCCACCTGGAGCTCTAACTACAGTGGGTGTGCAGTGATACGTAGCTGACTGCTTGGCTGCACCAAGAGGCATCTCTTACAATTTTGGCCCCCTTAGGAGTATGGGTGCCATGTATAATTGCACCAAAGAAATTGATATCGCCTATGACTGCCTTGGATCCTTCTTTCTTTGCCACCCACAGTCCATCGCGCATTGCATGCTCATGCATTTTTGACATCTGTGGGGGAAGAATGATGTTTCGAGTCTGTACCGTTCTTGCCATGCAAGGGATCTGTGGGAGGAAGCTAGATATATGCCCATAAGAACAAAGAAAAATGTCAGACTAGTGCACTAAACAGGCAGAAAAAGAAGTACTAAATGAAAGACTGGGAACTAGCTGAAACCTTGGTACTTTTAGTTGTTTTTTCCAGCATCAAGTGTTTTAGTGAGAATTGCTCTTTTGATTGTGTTGGTAGAGAGCAAGATGGCTGATTAAATTACCAATGGCATTAATTCACCTGGGATTTCCCAAGGCTTAATTTTCAAGACTCCAAATCTTATCTTACTACCTTCTCTCTTTTTTAAAAAAAAATGTTTATTTTGAGAGAGAGAGTGAGAGCAGAGGGAGAGAGAGAGAGAGAGAGAGAGAGAGAGAATCCCAAGCAGGCTTTGCACTGTCAGCACAGAGCCCAACTTGGGGCTCAGTCTCATGAACCCGGAGATCATGACCTGAGCCAAAATCAAGAGTCGGATGCTTAACCAACAAAGACACCCAGGTGCCCGTATCTTACTACCTTCTCACAGATAAGCTAAATGGCTATAATTCTAAATATAACCTATGTGGTTTATATAAAACTCCAAACTTTCCTACTTCAAACATGTTGATAGTCCAGTGCCAATTCTTAGTGCTGATGATCCATAGGTTAACCCTTCAAGAAGAGTTAACCCTTCTTGAAAGAATAATTTATTGGCTCTTTGGACAAAGAGTTTAAATTTTTTGTTTTTCTTTTAACTGAAATTTTCAGTTAATAAATCATTTCTGAAACCAGTACATCTACACACACGCAATTACACACACACACACATACACACACACTTTACCTCTAATAATGTGCAGTGCCTTCTGGTGTTTTGTTTTCTCTTGTCTTTTATTTAATTTACAATATTGGTCATGACCCACTTATGGAAATTAACTTACAGGTTTGAGATAGCCTATTAGAATGCTCATATTGATGAAATTGTTATTCTTGGCTTAATTCATAAATTGTGGGCCTAATGGAATTCTTTCTGTGACTAAGATATAAGGATCCATGGTGTGTTCAGAGCTGATAATCTCTGTGGATTTTGTTGAGACTCTATCATCCTATATTACTATTAAAGCAGCATTGGCAGAAGATGTACAAGAGAAGTATAGTGGAGTATTTAAGAGCATGATTCTGAAGCCAGAGTACATGGGTTCAAATCTGACTGTAGAACTGGTTTCCTGGAGAATGTTGGGCAAGTCACTTAACCTCTTTTTTTTTTTTAATGTTTATTTATTTTTGAAAGAGAGAGAGAGCATGGTCAGGGGAGAGTCAGAGAGAGAGGGAGACAGGATCTGAAGCAGACTCCACACTGTCAGGCAGAGCCAGATGTGGGGCTCAAACCCATGAACCATGAGATCATGACCTTGGCTGAAGTTGACGCTTAACCAACTGAGATACCCAGCTGCCCCCTCACCCTTTTTAAATTTATTTATTTTGAGAGTGAGGGTGAGAGTGCAAGCTGGGGAGGGGCAGAGAGAGAGAGAGAGAGAGGGAGAGAATCTCAAGCAGGCTCCATGCTTTCAGCACAGAGCCCGAGGTGGGGGCTTGATTCCATGACCCCAGGATCATGATCTGAGCTGAAATCAAGAATTAGATGCTCTACTGACCACACAGGTGCCCCAGGTCATTTAACCTCTTTGTGCTTGAGTTTCCACATGTACAAATGGTGATTATAACAGTGCTATATCATAGTGTTATAAAAGTTAAATGAGTAAAATTATATTTAAATTGCTTAGAAGAGTACTTGATACTAATATATTTATATTATATATACTATTATTATAATATCATAATATAATATGATATATGCTATATTATTATGCTATATTATTATATTATATTATTTTATAATAATATATTTTTTATTATATTGTGATTAGGCCTCTAAAGAGTTGTACCTTTCACCCAAAGTCAATTTGTCTAACTTTCTCAAAAAATTCTTAGTGTAAAAATATATGCAATAGACTTTATGGGTACCTCCATGTTTCTAGATGCTTCTTTTCTCTAGCCAGGAACCGGAATAACTGAAGTATATAGTGCTCTTAGATGACATAGATTTACTGTTTGACCCTCACTTTTGGTGATTGTAACGATTATTTAATTTCAGATATGTTCTGTCATAATTTAAATATAGTTTGCAAGGCCAATGCTTGGAACAGGCTGTTTGAGGTAGAGACCCTCAGAACCAAGTCTGTTGTAACAAGGTGCATCCAAATTTACCCCACTGGCATCAGACAGTGGCATATTATTTGGCCCTTGCTGTAAAGCAATTACCTGATGAATCATTGGGCATTTTAAAGACAGAAGGCCTTATTGATATCTCAGTGTACCTGCGGTGGCAGTGAGAATGAGCCTTAGAAAACTCTAACTACAGGAAGTGTAATTGACCAAGGTTCCCCACCTGCTTTCTGAAATTCATTGCTGTGTTCTTGCTGAAGCCGTGCCTCTCCTAGGCTGAGCCTAACAGGCCTGTTTCTGGGAGCCGTAAACTCCTCTGAGGAGAGACTGGGGCTGCAGGAGTCCCTGATGGCCTTTTTAGAGGAGGGTATATGTGATACATTGGTATTAATGGGAGAAAAGTGTAAGTGGCAGCAGAGAATAAAACATTCTATATGAGAAAGAAAATACAGCTATATATTCTTTTTTTATTTCTTGTATGTTGCCTACACTTCTTTCTAAACACTTCTTTTTGCTTCTTTCTGAACACTTTCTAAACACTTTCTAAACTTTCCAGACGCTTTTTTTAAAAATTTCTTTTAAGTGTATTTATTTATTTTGGGAGAGACAGAGACAGTGCAAGTGGGGGAGGGGCAGGGAGAGAGAATCCCAAGAAGGCTCCACACCACCAGCACAGAGCCTGATGCATGTCTTGAAACCATTAAGCTGTAAGATCATGACCTAAGCCGAAACCAAGAGTCACACGCTTAACGGACTGAGCCATGCAGGCGCATGTTTCTAAACGCTTTCTAAACTTTCTAAACATTTTCTAAACAGTTCTTTTTACTTCTTTCTAAACACTTTCTTTTTTACACTTAAAGAAGTACCTAAGGGGTTAAACTTAATTGAATTGAATGATTGTTTCCCATTATTTATAAATAACTGGGACATGTGTTTAAATTGCAATTTGGTGGATTCATGTCTCATTTTAAAAAATAACTTTTGAGCATTTGACACAATGAGTCATTCCTCCTGAACACCTTTGCCTCATGTGACTTCCGGTAGAGCACAGCTTATGGGCTAATCTTCTTGGTCTCTTTGGCTGGTTCCTCCTTTATCTGACTCGATCTTGGAGGGTCCCAGGGCTTAGTCCACAGTTCTCCTCTCTAACTATGCTAATTTCTTTGATGATCTCATTCAATTTCAAGGCTTAAATACAATATCAATGCTAATGATCCCCTGATTTATATTTCCAGACCTCATTCTTAAACTCCAGATTCATAAAGCCACCTGCTTATTCAGCAAATAATAAACATCTTAAATTCCACGTGTCCAAACTTGAACTTCTATTTTATCTTTAGCCTTCCCATCTGGCAATCATTCCTTCCAGTGGTTCAGGCCAAAGATCTCACAGCTATTTTTGCCTCATCTTTTATAACCTATCCTACATGCAGGATCACCAGGAATATATCTATTGGTTTCACCTCCAAAATATATGCAGAATTTGGAGACTTCATGCCACCTACCCTGTGACTATGCTGGTCCAAGCCAACACCATCTCTCTCCTGGAAAACTACCAAAGTATTT